TATAATTTGTTGAAATTTTTTATTTTCAATTTTATTTTTAATTTTTTAATATTTTTAATATTTAAATTTTTTTAATATTTATTTTCAAAGAAAAAATATATTAAAATCTAAGTATTTAAATTTAAAAATTAATATAATTTTTTTTAAAAAATTAATTTAAATTTAACTAAATAATTTAGGCTAAAATCAAAATCTATTTAAAATCGGTTTTAAACCAGTTTAGAACAAGTGGTTTGGTTTATAAACCATAACCATAAAAATGGTTTGGTTCATATTAAATGGTTATCCATGCACACCCCTAGAGGTGGATATGACATTCATATCACATGTACAACTGGGACCAGATGAAGCATCAGAGGTTGAAAATGTCTGTTGCAGTGTTCACGACTCTCAGCATCGGTGTTGCAGTTCATGTATTTGCAATAATAATTGGGTGGATTTGGGAATCCTAGACTAGCATATTGGTTTTAATTATTGTTGTCTTATTACTTTGACTGTATTCATGTTTAATTTTTTATATGGATTTTTCATATATGTAATAATCAATTTTTCTGTATTGTTAAATACTCGTGCTTGAACATTTTCATTTATTAATACAAAGTATAGAATTAAAATGTTTCAGGTGGTTTATCAATTATTTGATAGTTTGCAATAAAATTAATTTTTTTAAAAAACTGGTTTTAAAATTGGTTTTTATAAAATTGGTTTTAAAACTGATTTCTTTAAAGAAAATAAAAAAAACTGGTTTTTAAAAAAATTATTTTTATTTTAAAAACCGGTTTGAAACTGAACCAATCCACTTGTAAACCGATTTTAAAAAAATAAACCGGTTTTATATAAACGGTTTTAAGATCCAAACCAAACCATATATGTGGTTTGGTTTGGTTTGATTTATAATCCATGCACACCTCTATGTATGAAGAGGTATCGACTAGTGTGCGGACACATGATGGATAGACCGACTATTTTCCCATTATAATATGATTGCGCTAAAGCTCAATCCTAATCCCTTACCTTTTTACTTTAGTATTGGATGTACTTGCGAAATACATCTAAGAGCTAATACTAAGATGTTTTCTTTTTGCATATAATATAGTTCTACTTGCAGAGTCGAAGGAGAATTTAAATGATAGGTTGACTACTTGAAGATGAACCTTAGAAACATGCGGCTTTCACCTAAGCAAAAGTAAGACATGAGTATATAGAATGTAAAGTCAGCAAACAGAGAAGTGTTTCTAACTTATAGGTGAAAGTTGGATACCATATCATCCCACATGTCACGTTGTTTAAATATTTTTAATCCATAATACAAAATGATAGAGAAAAAAAAGGGGTCTAAATCATCGAATTTATGTTGGGTGGCTTAAATAAAGGAGAGTGCCTCAGGAATTTAATGTGACACAAAAGTGTCGCTAAAGCTGAAGGAGAAATTTTATTCACAACTGTAATACATGTGATGTTGAAGAGGACATGATGATGGATCATTAAGAATCAACAAGAGAATGAAGTAAATGTAAAAATAATGAGGTTGAATGTGTAATAAGATTAGACAAGATAAGATTGAAAATGACAATACTAGAGAAGGTGTTGGAGTAATATCTATAGTAAAAAAGATGGTGGAAATAAGCTTAGGTGATTTGAGAATGTAGAAAAAAAATGTATATTATATGGTAAGAAGAGTAGTTTACATGGAGATGAGTCAAATAATTAGATGTAAAGAAAATCTTAAAAAAATTATAATGATGTGTTTGGACGAAGTAATTGAAAATTTTAAAAATTTGAAGTAATTCATATGATTCAATTGAATTACATTTATTTTAAAATTATTTTGTTTGGATATGTATTCAAATGACTCATTTTTATAAATTTTAGCTCAAATTTTTAATGTGCAAAATATGAGTTAATTTGCATTTTTTGAAATTAAAAGAATCAGTTTGCAAATTTTAAATATTATTAAGGACTAATTAGAAATTTTTTGAGAATTTTAGAGGTTATTTTAGAAATTTTATAAAATATGAGGACCGAGTTGTCAAATTTAAAAGATTAATGATAACCCATTTGACATTCATAATGTAAAGAGTGAGAGAAATTTAAATTTCGTTTGAAATTGTTAGATTTAAATTTCGTTTGAAATTGTTAGATTTAACATTCCTATCATTATTTCCAATGAGCATAAATGCTTTGTCAATGACAGAATGTATTGGATTAACTTCTGAAGTCATTAACTGTTATATTTTGAATATAAAATATATTTTTAATTTTAATTTGATACAAAATATATTTTTAATAAAATTTTACTTTATTATAAATTTTAGTTTTACTTTGATATAGAATAAAATTTTAATAATTTTTTTCTTAACTAATGTTATTTTATTATTATATTATTTATAATAAAATTGGGATATAAATTTTAACCCTAACAAAATGGATACGGATAAATGGTTAAATTATTGTCAATGTTAATGTTAGTCAAAGTAATTATTAGACAAAATATAACTTTTTATATTTTGGATATACTTTGATTACAATTTACTCACACTAGTAATTAGTTTTCATGAAATATTGAAGTATAATAATTACAATAATTATATCCTTTTAACCTATAAAATTTATTTGGAAATTGCATGTTTTTTTACTATGTTAGTACTATTATTCACGCTTTTCTATAATTTCTATTGTCAATTTTCTACCATATTTGTGAAGATACTTTAGCATAACAATAATAAAAATATAGAAAAATATTCTTGTGTGTAGCCAAATTATTTTATTGTGCTTTTGCATAATTAACTACGCACTATCTCATTTGAGTACAAAATTATATTTGTTATTAGTATAAGACATTAAACCTATCCCTCTCAACTCACTATTTCTTAAGCTTAATAAACTCTTAACATTACATAGGACTTATCACTTCTTATATACTATTTTAAAATTATAATAAATAAAAATGAAACGGAAATTGAATTGGTAAACTCAAAAGTCTCAAAGTAGTGTAGCCTATATATATATATATGTTGATTATGAGCTTATAATTATTTCATCATTTTAAGCAATTATTCATAGGTTATAATGGGAATGTTCAAATGGAGAAGTTTCAAAATTGCATCCTTTTATCTCTTCTATCTCTTCACTTCCTCAGCTACTTCCACACAAATAATATCTAACACAAAGCTAGGTATGTTTAATCTTTGATATGAATTAATTTTTTAAATTAATTAAGTTTTTCTGCTATTGAAATTTTATCTAATTTAATTGAAACCATCTATGTCATTGCGTCTAAAAGACATTCGATTTATAAAAAAATATGTATAAAGAGAAAAAGTTTATTTGTTAATAAAAAGTTAAATTTTGGAATTTTTAAAAAATATATATTTTATGTAATTCGAGACGTGTAGATTAAAAAATCTAGTCTCTTAGCGTTAATTAACATTTTCTGTTCATTAAAATTTTATATGATTTGACTGAAGTAATTTATGTCGTTATGTTTTAATGATATTTGGTTTATTAAAGAAATATACAAAGAAAAAAATTTTAATTTTTTTTTTCTTCATTTTTTATGTAACTAGGGATCGTGTAAATGATAATAATAAATTTCTTTAGGCAATTCATATATAACTTGAGAAGTGTAATGTAAAATTTTTAGAAAGATCTATCGATTTGATTGAACTGATCTCCGTGGTTGTATCCGAGTTCAAAGAACATTTGATTTATAAAATAAAATATACGAAGGAAAAAAATATTAAATTGTTGATTAAAAAAAGTTAAAATTTTGGTATTTTCTTAAATATATTTTCTTGTAACTAATACATGAATAATGATGGTGTGTATTGATTTGTGTAGATGGATTTGATGATCTTCTTGACATATGCAAAATAGTATATTGTGGAAAAGGAACATGTCAACAAAGTGTTTTTCCAAATTTTTTATGTGATTGTGACCCTGGTTGGAAGAAATTCACAATTGGTTCCTTTGAATTCCCCACTTGTGTTCTTCCTAATTGTAAGTGATTATAAATGTTGTATTGTTTTCAATATGATTTAAAATAAGTGATTTTTAGATAATCTGTATCTTTTTTCCTGAATGAGTTATGAATGAGAGATGCAGGTACTATTGATTTCCAATGTGGTAATGGACAACTGCCTATTCCGTCGCCTCAACTTCCAAATCCAGCCGACCGTAAGTATATCACTATCATGATTTTTTATCTGCAGACGAACTGGTCATAATCACTAGAAACTCGCACATACAGAGAGTCAGTTTGAACTTTGATAATCGACGTCCAAATACTTAAACTAATTATCAGTGTTTTGCGCTACACAGCTTGTTCGGGAAATCTGTGTGGAGATGGAAAATGTGTAAGAGATGGCACAGATTTTAAGTGTCAATGCAATGAAGGTTCGGCCAATGTTCTTAACGATCCGAAGTTGGTTTGCTTGAAAAAATGTAAGTAAGTGTAAGCGGCTTATTCTTAATTACCTTCGACGTGTGTGTGAGTGTTGTAAACTCAGAATACCGAATTTGATTCCTAATGATGAATTTTCGAGTAGGTGGCATAGGAGGTGATTGTAATGGTGTAGATCTCGGGTTCAATACGCCAGAAAAAGCTGAATCACCGCCTGCAACTCCGGGTTCTGGACCTAGCTCCTCAGGAACTACTGGTAAGTATTTGAATCTCGAATTTAAATTATGCGAATGTCGTTGAATCTATGTGCTTATTATTGAATCAGATAAGTTTCGTGTATGACAGGTTCAGGTGAAATGTTGAACTGCACAAAGAAACTTTATATGCTGACCATAATGATATTAGCCATAACATTTCAAAACTGGATTTGAAATAGGACATTCAAGATTATTACGGTTTATATCAGAGCTGAAATATTATTGCAGTTAGTTTCAATAATACAGTAATTCTGACATGTGACCATTAAATAATTTGTATTATTGATTATCTATGTATTCTTTTTCACTCATGAAAATTGACTTTGGCCGGTAAATAATGCTCATTCCGAAGTCACCAGCTTCTTCAGCTCTTTTTTGTTTACCTGAAATTTTAATCAGAGAAGAATTAACTTTGCTTCCAGAAGAATTTTTTGCGACGAAAAGAAAAAGGAAATGATGTTTGATTAGGACGGCAAAGAAGCGAAAGTAATTTATTTACCTTCCCCATTGCATTGCGAGGGAGTGACTCCCACACGATAAGTCGAGTTGGTATCTAAAGATGTAAACAAATTATTAGAAGAAATTAACTTTTGCAACTCTTATAACTATGATGAATAAATTGGTTCATCAAGGAAACACAATTGACGACAATACCTTGTAAGGTGCGAGTTTAGTTTTGGCCCAAGCGGTTAACTCTGCTAGGCTTAGAGCAGGCTTTGACTCTTGTTCGCTCTTTGCGGCTGGCACGATAATTGCACAGACAATTTCTCCGTAGACTTTGTCCGGTATTCCCAAAACACAACATTCTGAGACAATTGGATGCTGCAAAAAGCTTTTGATTGTGAATATCATATCCTAAACAGCTAACAACCGTAGAATAAGAAAATGATAGCCACTTGCCTCTACTATTACTGATTCAATTTCTAATGCAGAGAGCTTATAGCCACTGTTCATGATTATATCCGCGTTCTTACCTGATAAAAAAAATACATAGAATGTACACAATAGGTTTTACTTGCATCACAAGCTAACTTCTGCTACTCTGATGATAAGATAAATTTTACTTGCATCACAAGCTAACTTCTACTACTCTGATGAGAAATATAAATTTCCTTACGTCCTAAAATGATGAAATATCCATCTTTATCGGTCGTGACAACATCTCCGGTCTTAAAGAATCCATCATCTGTAAACGATTCCTTCATTACCTACATCGGAAAAAAATACATAATTTCTTAGAGGGAGATATTACATTTCTTTTACTATTTTCTATAATTGGAACCTTGGACTTTAAGTAAGTGATGATTTCAGAATCAATAAAATGCAAGAAATTAACATCCTGAAAGTACCTCGGAAAGTTTATAATATTCTTTAAACAATGAAGGGCTTTTAACGCAAAGCTCGCCAACCCCAGATTCGCCACTCTCATGCTCCTCATCTGCAAGAATCTTGACCTGCGATTAATGCAGAAAAGCCAAGATATCGTCTTTCATATTGAGCATCAACAACATTCGAAGCAACTCCACTCTCTTGGTTAGAAGTATTTTTCGACTAACCTGCACACCAGGTAATGGTTTGCCAACGGTGCCTGCTTTACGCTCGCCTTTCAAGGGATTTGACAGTGCAATGATAAACTAGAAACATCGATACAATAATGCAAGGTTCGTCTAAAAAAATCATTTGCAAAATTAATGAAGAAAAAAACTTAAGCTAAAATGATCTGTCAAAAAATTTACTTACTTCAGTCATGCCATAGCGCTGCAATAAGCGATGTCCAGTGATGGATTCCCATTCTTGCATAACAGGTTGAGGAAGCGCAGAGGACCCGCTCATCTAAGTAACAGAATGATTACATATCAGATTTTTTAGATTGAGAATGGTTAGTCATGTCATCACACAAAACATAAATAAATTTACCATTAGACGCAAGTTCCTTGTGCTAGATGCAGAAGCGGCTTGCAGCTCGGGATCCATGGCATGATAACCTTGAATTAGTCGAGTGTACATAGTCGGAACCTTCATTTAGCAAATATATCAGGCAAAGATAATTTACTTTCTATATACACAAACAAAGGTTTGTGAGAATGAACCATATCACACTTACTCCGGTGAATATAGTTATAGCATCATCAGCCTCGTATCCTTCAGTTGGATATGACTCGCGCCATCTCTTCCAAATTCCGCTGACACTAAATTTCGGAAGAAACTCAACCTTCAACAAGATAGTTAGATTCTTAACAACAACAAAAATATTCATAATGGACGTTATTTATACCAAAATTAACACTTTCTTATCTAATTCTATTTGGACTAAAGTAAATTACCGTGGAACCGACGTAGAGAGGGGCTAGTACACCTTTGATAAGCCCATGGACATGTACTTCATACATGTTAAGGATTGACATCACAAATATGATAATGTTTTTTCCAATTACAAAAGTATTGAACAACACATTCAAAAAAAGGTTTCATGGATATGATGTAGTGGTAAACAATGCAAAAACCGATCGGCTGATGTAAACTCCCATGCTTTTGTCAAGGCTTGGATCTAAAACCAAGACAAATTGTAAACAAAAATTAACGAAAAAGAGTAACAGTTATTGATGTGCATTATGATTTGAGATAAATCATAAAGCATACCTGAGCAAGGATGCTTCTGTGTGTATGAACAACTCCCTTAGGCTTACCTGTCGTGCCGCTAGTGTACAAAATCAATGATGGATCTTCAACTAAGTCAAAGGATATATGAAAAACAAATGAAGAGAAAGAATTGTCAGAAAATTACTACCAAGATAATCTATTTTATCAGTTTTTAAAAACCGAAAATGTGATACTCTTACTTGATCTTACGATATTTTCCAGGAAAATTCTGTCTACATCATTTTTTCCATTTTTTGAATGTCCATTGTTGCTGTTCTCTGAGGACTTATTAGGAACGGGCGGAATATGAAAAAACCGAGAAGATGTTTTGTTGGCAATGCTTTGCATTAACTCACTGCGATCTTCGGTACTCAGTAATGCAGACACGTCCTATAATCAAATTTCTATTAAGATTCAATCCAAAAGAAAAGGATGTCTCGTGTAAGAAAAAGGGAGAGTTTCCAAAGCATACCGAATTATTCATCACATAGAGGAGCTCAACTTCTGGAAAGCTGAGTGCAAGTGGAACAGCAACACCTCCGCTAAACCAAATTGCAAGTATTCCGACAACAAATTCTGCAGATGGTTTGGCTACAATTCCTATTCGAGCTCCTCCAAGATTTCCCTAGAAAATAACGTAACTGTTTTTATCACAAGTGCTTATGTATAAGTTCTTTATAAAAGATTAAAAAAAAACTGTTTTCACACAAATAGCATTCAAAGGTACATCTCATAAAGATAATAGTAAAGAAATACAAGGTATAGCTCACTACCTTCACATCATTTTCACACAAGAGATTAGATAATTTTTGTGCCGATGTGATGAGCTGATTGTAACTATAACTCTTCTGATCAGCTCTGAGAGCAACACTATCATGAGCTGCAACTTCTTGTTTAGCAATTGCTTTGAAGATGACCATAAATTTAGTAGAATGACATGCGATATAAGAGGAAGAAACAATCAAATAAACTTACATGTGAAATTATTAGATACAAAGCAATGTCTACATTATAAAGACTGAAGAAGAAAAATATTACTTTGGTATTTTTTTCGAGGGACTACAACTCAATAAACTGATAACAACTCAATATGAAAGGTTGAGACTCCTTTCATATTTAACAATGTGGAGGCTATTATGAATGTCCACTCTTGTTAAAAGGAAAATTTTTCATAAATATGAAAAAGTCAAATTCTTTTCGAAAAAACGTAATAGCATATCTTTTCGGAAAAAAATTGAAAATAAATATTATGGAGAATATTTTTTGTTAATATAAAAAATTTTAAATTTTTATAAAATTAAAAATTTTAATTTTAAAAGAGTTCAAAATATATAAATGATTTAAAATTGTAAACTGATTATAAACTAGTTTTTAATTAAAATGTAAGCATTTTAGCAATTAATTGAATTTTTATTGAAATAATTATTGCAAACTGAATCAAGCCATAAATGTGGTTCGGTTCAATGCAGTTCATGAACCATGAATCTCCCTATTTATAAATCATTTTTTTTTTCACACTCCTTTTCGATGTTTTTCAAAGAAAAGATTTTAAATAAAAACAATAATGAAAAATAGTTTTACATATACTTAATTATAACTTTTTTATTAATTTAAAAATATAAAAAAAATCTCTCTTTTTCATAATTACAAACCACCCAATGAATCTAATTAAAAGACAAATTAAATTTTAAATAAATCTAAAGTTCTCTCTTTTTATTGTATGTTTATAAAAATATGTATTTAAATAAGTTTCAATGCAAATATTTCTCTGCATTCGTTATTTAATATTATCATTTATAATTGTATGACTTCTAATGTTATCTCATATTCTAAATTTTTACTATATTTAATTATTTTTATTTTTAACCGTCCAATATTATTCACACTTAATAACTTGAAAAAAGTAACAGATGATTTGTGTTAGGAGTGTAGTGTTTCATCAGATGTGTCGGGAGTATGTCAGCCATTATTACTTGTGCATGAAATAATTGAGATAACCAACATCACATCAAATCAAACTCAACAACAAGATACACAAATTCAAAACCCAATAATGAGTTAAACAAAAAAATCAGAAATGAGAGAGAAAACAAACTCACAGGAGGAGTGTGATGAAGACCGAGATTGAGAGCAAGAGATGGTTCTGTAAGAGTAATTAACACAGGAAGGTGACAACAACGGATAAGAGAACTGATGCTGACGGAATTTATCATGATGATGATGATGATGAAATGGAAGAACCGGAAACTGTTTGTTGAAAGTCTGAAATGAGCTGCTCATTTTTCTTAATTCGTGCTATGGCTGCAGAGTACGTTAGATGTTTCAATTGGATTCATGGACTCTGGTTTTATGTCCCCATGCACTGTCATTTCAACCACGTTTCTCTGTTTTTTTAAGGGACTGTTTGGTTTTGCATGAAATTGATTTTCGAATTTACAATTATTGATTCTATGAATAGTACAGTAATTACGTACAAGTTAATCATTTTTGCGACAACATCATTAATTGACTTACTCATCAATCAAAGAGGATAATTTACACTCCCTCCGCCAAGTGATTCAGTTAAAAATTTTACAAATATTTAAAAAAATGAATGATTGAATGAAAAGAAAAAAGGTTGATACACGGACAATATAAATTTTTTTTACACTCAATTATATATTCCGTCAAATCATATTAAAAATTTAAAATTAATTATAGGTTCTTGCTAACCAGTGCCCTCAGGACACTGTTTAAACATTCCATATTAAAAAATTATTCATTAAAAAAATCAAACACTTCAATTTCCAATGCACATTATTACACTTTATTACACATACTTTTATAAAAATTTACTATTTAAAGTTTTAAAAAGTGCCCTGAGGACACTGATTAACATTTCCCTTAATTATATAATAGAATAAGGGTAATGTTAACTTGTGCCCTTGGGGCACATGTTAAGTGATAAATATAGTAAAAAAATATTGGAAATTGTGTTTTAAATTTAATACAAGTTATGTTTTAAATTTAATACAAGTCAAACATTAATGATTTTATTGCTTTTTTCAATACTTATTTTCTATTTGTGGATTTCTTAACATGTGCCCCAAGGGCACAAGTTAACATTACCCATAGAATAAAATAATATATTTCTATTTAATGACAATATAAAATATTTTACACTGCGGATAACAATTAAACCCTATTTTTAATAAAGTCTTATGAAATTACGCATAAAACAACATAATTTATGTTATTGCAGCAGAGTTCGTTAAATGTCAGAATTTGATTTATCAACATCGATTTTTTTGTCACCCTGCCCTTTAATTTCAACCACATTTCTCTGTTTTTTTTAATGGAGTGAACAATAAATCATTTGAATCATATTTAAAATATAAAACTAAAATATCCTTAATATTTGTGATGACAAAATAATTTTTTTTTAAGTTATTAATTTATAAATATCAATATTTAATTTTAAATAGAAAATAAAAATATAAAATAAATATATTCCGTCGAGTGGTTCTGTTAAAAATTTTACAAATATTTAAAAAAAAGGAATGGAATGAAAAGAAAAAAGGTTGATACA